TTACTTTTTCCAGGCTGTGGGGACGATGTGGTTTCCCTTTTAGGTGTTAGGATTCTCTCTTTCACACTGGTTTGTCACGACCTTAAAGTACTTTAAGTTTCGTTTTGGTTATTGTTTTAGAAGTTTCATACCCCACTAAGCTAGAGATTGATTTCACCCAAAAAGCACACAGCACTGACGGAATCCATAAGCACCGGGTCAGATCCTACCAGCAGCCCCTCTGCATTTCACGGTCGACACTGGCTCACACTGGAGGCCAAGCCCGGCTCTAACTGGCCTTCAGCTTACAGGAGAAGACTGGCCACACAGCATGAAAGGCAGGAGCACGCTGGTTACGAGGCCACGGTCCTCCCAGCTGCTCCTATCTGCTCCCGACAGATAGAGGAGGCGGCCTGCCGTTCTGAGTTGCACCCACCCACAAAACCACTCATGGCATTTTACTCAAAACTTCATTTTAACCACTACTTTGTGATGCAAAACTAGTGGAATTTTGGGTACTTTCTGTAAAATTGAAATCTTTGTGGGGGTTTTCCATCCTCCTGGTTGATTGTTAACAATTTATCAGTTTGTCAGACGAGAGGAAGCCGAGTCGGCGGAGAATGGGGATTCATGTGGTCGTAAGGCAGGCTGACATGTGCCCGCGTATCCTCACGGGGCTGAGAAGCGAGTCTCCTTTTGCAGAACATAGTTAAGTTACAAGCATCTACACAGGGTTTGTAGTTGTAGAAGATAGAGACCCATGTGCTTCTTATCTTTGCCACAAAGTTTTTGTCTAGACCAGAGTCAGAGCCAATACTTTCATCCGGGTAGATTCTCTTATGGAGGAGGAAACGTAAAAAGCTTAGCAATCTTCGTTGTCCCACATGGAGGACAAAAGAATTTCTAAGAACTTTGTGTAAAGATGAGAAACGTGATAGGAAACCAATTATGGGTGAGGTTCTGGAGTGTTCTAGGGTGGGGGACTCCTGTCCAAGTGTGGGGAGCTTGTTTTGTACTTGATCGAGCAATTGTACTTGACTTGGCTAATTCTGGGCCAGAATCCCAGGGCTTCAAACTGCTTTGAACAGACTCAGTCAGGGCCAGTGATGCCCAGCTCGAGAACAGACTCATGTATATAAAATTTGGATGATCATAAATGATAACTGAGATGGGAAAAGGATGTATCAAAACCCTGGACTGGGGAATTGGAAGTGGGGTGGGGAGCCCTTTGGGAAGCCTGCTGTGTGAGGCTGTTGGGCTGGCAGGGCGTGGGGGCCCTGTGCTCAGGGCTGCGTTTGTGCTGCTTAAGTAAAGGCCGTGTTTCCCCAGGGGTTCAAATCCACCAGCGGTTCTTCAGAACAAAGGAGAACGTCCTGCATCTCCAGAGGAAGGCCAGGGTGGCCCTAAACGTGACCACCAGCCTTGGCAGGACAACTGGGGATCTGCTCTGAGTCAGAATGGACTTGATGACAGTGACGGAGGGTGGACAGCTCCAGAGACACTGAGTGGCCAGGCTGGCCGCCATCTCTGAGTGGTCACTGCCTCACCCGACGGGCAGGGCATTCGCTTGGGTTCCCAGCAGGGAGCTGACAGGAGTGCTCCCAATCTGGTTATTCTACCACCTCAGTTTTAAAACTTCAGGGCTGTTCTGGTTTCACTCCCTTGGCTGTGAGTCACGTGGGAGGAACAGGTTTGAAGCTTGGGTGATTTCTGGGGCAAGTTGATGTACCTCTCAAGGGTGCAATCTCTTATCTTTAAAACCAAAGCTCAAGCTGGCTGACTTGGTAGACACAGCGTGTGGTCTCAGAGCTTTCAGGTGGTGTTATTTACACCTTCCCTCGTCATCTGCAGCCTTCAAACCCACTGGAGGATCAGCTATAAAGCAGTTAGTTGCACCTTGATGGCAGAGCCTGAGTTTGGGGTTTTAATGGGAATGTCAAGGAACTCTAGTGGTGGAGTGCATAGAGCGTTGTGCTGCTGGCCAAAAAGGCTATCCTTCTGGGGTTGGCAGTTCAATCCCACCAGGGGCTCCTCCAGAGAGGATGAGAATCTCCTCCATGCAATTCAGAGCCTCAGAAACAGCTGGGGTCAGCTCCGAGCCGGTTCCGCCTGGAAGGCAGTGCGTGAGAGACACAAACGTGACTTTCATTGTAATGAAGTTTATCAAGCATGTATTGCTTTATGAAATCTATACAACTACTATCTTAGTATTAGAAAATCACCTCAATTTCTGTAAGCGGGTCACTGTGTCCTGTTATGTGTAATGTTTTTGAAGGAGTAACTTTCCCTGATGCAGCCCAGAAGTCAGACAACTGTCTCCTGATTAAAAGAACGGTCAGAAAGTTTGCGCTGTTTGCTATTGATGCTTTATCCAGACGGTCCACTGGAAGACCCGGAGGCGGTTCCGGGCTCTGGAGTGGCTTTTAACAAGCATTCTGGCTGCACTCTTTCAAGACATATGTTTGTTCATTTGTAAGTTCATGAGCTACTCCGAGCTCTTTTCCAACACCACAACTCAAAGGCATCAATTCTTCTGTGAATTGGTTCCAATTCCATGGCAATGAGTCAATTTAACAAATGGTTTAGTTGAAGACATTTGCAAAAGCTTGAAAATCAAACTGGTGCTATAGCAAACTTTGAAAATGAAGAAAACAAAGCCAGGATGGCTTCCACGAATATTCCTTTACACTGCCACCCCTGATGGGTGACACAGTCACAAGTGTGCTGTGAGTGGAACAAAGGCTGGAGTCCACCAGCTGCTTCGGGGAGAGAGCGGAGGGAGCCTCTTCAGCAGACTGGCAGCCTCAGCAGTGTGATGGAGGGTCAGTGGGGAGTCAGAATCCTCTCCAGGGCCGGGGCTTGTGTGGGATCAGACCTGGCCACATTTACTCTTCATGTGAGTAGGTTAAACTCAAAGTGATTAGAGCCCAATCTTTGGAACCATCCTCGTCACTGACGCTGAGCTGGTTCTGACTTACGTAGCTGACCCTCCCGTGGCTTTCTGAGGTTCTAAACTGCATGGGAGAACATGGCCCGTCTGAACCACCAGAATCTTCAGGTAAGAAATGGGGACGCACCACCAGGTCCTCTAGTCTCTGAAAGAGCAGCATTGGGAAGGCAGCGCACGGCCGGAGACAGAGCTGGGTCCTCCACGGCACGTCCAAGGCCACAGGCGTCCTCACTGTAAAATATGTTTCTGTTGTACTGCTTAGAATTCACCCCTGACCAAGGGGCGGCTCCACTGCACGCAGGGTGCAGGGACATGCGGATTCCATTTATTGCTGAAGTTGGCGAACTGAATGAAGATTTCTATCTTAAGTGACAGGATCCAAATGAAACATGACAACGCTGTAATAGCCGCAACCTGAACATGTCGACACAGAACCTCCGGTGAACCCACACGAAGCAGTGGGGGGCCAGCTGGGGATCAAAGGGGCTGGGGGGGAGGGAGGCAGGTCCAGGCCCGTTCAGCGGCCCTGAGGTTCACATGGCAGGCGTTCAGTCTACAGAGAAAGTGCGCATTTAGCTTGGGCTTGCCTTTTATGGAAGAAATTCGTGAAGACACAATGCACTATCTGGAAAATTATTACCCACCCCCTGAAAGGGATCAAATTTATAAAGTAGAAGCCTGTGCTTTGACACTAGTCATTGGCCTAGAACTTACTTCTGACCCAGTTCCCAATGCTGGCTGGTTCTTATTTACCAAAGGAACAGAAAAAAAGAAGAAATCAGTGTCAGGAGGCTAATGAGGGTGAGCACTGCTCTGTGGAGGGGGCATAACTGCCATCTAGACACAGTAAGATCAGTCAAGAGCTCTGGTGGCCTAGTGGCAAGAAGCTGCACTGCAATCCTAAAGGCACAGAGTTCGAGGCCACCCGCTGCTCCACGGGAGAAGGATGGACAGTTTCCTCCCTCGTGATTAATTGCCTCTGAAAACCCACCAGAGGATCAGCTATGGGTCAGTTCCAACTCGACAGTACACAGCAACAAGTTTTGTGAAAGCACCTTGGACAGTCTTGCTGGGCTCCGCTGCCCTCTGTTAGAGATGCCTCCCACTGCAGACAGTAAGTTCAAGCTTTGCCAACGGAGGAGGCAGAGACTAGAGACGCAGCAGGGCACACTGGCCTTTCCCTGTGAGTGATCACAGCCCCAGCCAACAGCACAAGCGCGGTGTTTTAGTCTGTATAAAATAATCAAGCATTTCCCAAGTTTATATGGTAACCAAAGCAGGTATATTTCCTTTAGGGTCCATCTATACATCCTGGAGAGACCCGATAAACACAGTGAAGCACGACACAGACCAGCACTCTGTCACTGCGTCATGTTCCACATCATTTATTAAATACTTATTTTTATATAAGCATTTACAAACTTGAAGCATTCATTTCAGAACTCTGCTTTCAGTACATTTTTGACTTGTAAAATGAGAAGATCATGTACAAAACTAGGCAACAGACAGATGGCAAAGTTTCCTCTCATCCTTTTCTTCCATTCAGAGACGAATCATGTGAGAAAGAAGTCAGCCCCACAGGGCTCTTTCTGCAGGCTAACGCGTCGTGTTCACGGCGAGCTCTCCCAGGGAAAGCCCCCTGACGTGGAAGGGTGCAGCTCGTGTACGTCTCAGGTGCAGGAGCTTGCTGGCTCGCATCAGGGAGGAAACGGCCGCTACTGGTGGGATTAATCTAGAAACCACCAGAGATTCATTTCTTCACAACATGACAGCAAAATTCACCCCGAACCTGATGCTGCTTGGCCAGCAGTCTCCCAGCTTGGCATTCAAAGTTCCCTTTAAAAATTCATTAACTTCGTTCCAAACTAAGTCTGAGCCTCTACTTCGGCTTGTTGAAAGAAATAGTTTAAATGATCAATTTAAAAGCTTAAAAGTCTCCTTGAAACTAAAGTTGCTTTTCTTAACTGAATGCTGATTTAACAGTTGATGAGGGTCCTAACGCCACAGCATGGCCAGCGCCAGGCACCGCATGGCAAAGGCACCACCACATGGTGACCGGGTGAGGCCGACGCCCGGGGCCTGAAACTCGCTAGGAATATAGTTTTGGCAGCAGCATCATTTGCTATTTAACCCTTTATTACGCAGTGTTCACACACCTGCTTCAAAGGTGTCCACTCCCACCAGGACACACAGGAGTTACAAATTTATTGTGATTGCATAATTCGTACTGCACAGTTTCATAAAAAAACCCCATAAATACTGGCTATTGTAGATTTAAATACAAAATACATGTCATAGAGTTTTAAATCTATAATCTGGTTCAAGTGCAAATCAGGTGCTTTCTTTAATCCTTCCAGAAAAGGCATTTTTTAAAATATTTTTGGCACGAATGACACTCCATCATGCCAACGTTCTAATTACAAGACGTATATCCAGATGTCAAGAGTAGCAATAATATACAGACAGTATAAAACCGAGTATTTACAAATGGACTAAGCCTAGATGTACCCTTTGTGGGTAGTTGAGAACTAATTGGCCATACCCACACTAATAATAATGAAAAAAAGGGAAATGCAACTGTGCTCCGCCGGCCTAGGCTGGCTGCTGAGGGTTGACGTTCATGTGAGCAGGATGTCCTAGAAGACCGATTCTTTGTTTCTGCTTCCTTTGTTCTGTCATCTGGAAAGTTAAAAAGTTTCTACATTAGACCCAGACATTTCCTGTGCGTCAGCTCGTGCCCTGAACCATAGATTTACCTGTGGTTATGGTGATACTGAAACCCACTTTCTACAAACAGTGTGCCGTCACTGTATCGCACACACACAACGGCCCTGCACTCGGCATTTTCCTAAGCAGGAGGGGAATTCTGTGGCCTAGGCGTGCAACGTAACACTCAGAACTGCTGCTTGTGACTTTGTTCATAAGAAGCAGAACCCAGGAGAAGCACAGGATGTCAGACTGCTTACAAAATCCATGTCAAGTGAGGGAGAGGCTTATGGGAAATGGCTTTGTAGGGCAGCCACAGAACTCCATACGATGAAGAAAAGTGGAGGGCTTAGGGCCAGAGGCCAGGAAGGGAGTGTGCCCAAGGGCTGGCTGGAGGGGACACGTGACATGACACAGCTAGGAAGAGAAGGGATGCCCTCGTGTCTCTCAGAGTCAGAGCGACCAGAGGTCATCTCGGAGAGGCAAGGGCAGGCAGCAGTGATAGGTTTGTCACAATGGATACGAGACCCACTTAGACTTCCTTAGACAGCCTGAAATGAAAAGGTGCTGTTTACAGCTCCCAAATGAGTTTAGACTATTTCCTTGGCTGCTGAACCAACTTCTCTCTCACACTGATGGCGACCTGGCCCTGTTCTGGGGATCTGAGGGCGTACTGAGATAATACTGAGATTCTGTGTGTGAAGGTTTTTCTTAATTCAGCTTTAGAGCCATGGATTGGAGGTTGGGCATTTAAGTAAATTGAGAGAAAGGCTATGAAACATTGATTAGATACAGCCATTGCCTAGAAATGGTTTTATGCCTAGATTTTTTTAGTCTTCTAAAATTAGGTGAAATTTATGGGGGAAAAAATGTAAGCTTTGGAACCACAGGGTCCATTTTCCTTACAGTTTATGTTACTTAACTTCTCAAAGTCGGCCACCTTAGAATAGAGAGAGGATTCCCACCCTGTAACGGCATTGCCTGCCACATAGTGGGCGCTTTGTCTCAGTTTTTACTTGTATGAATTTTGGCACAAAATATGCTGAAAGAAGATAAAACAGTAACTCACCTTGGTGTGATTTTAAGGCAGCTACTTTCTCTTTTGTGAAATATAGCCATTATCCTTTCAAATCAAAAGACTATTTTTAGGGTCCTGTGGAAATGTTTTTAGATGCGGGTGTACTAGGGGTGCTATTTCCCATGCGTGGCCTCCAGTGACGCTGTCTGTACAGAAGTGGATTGAGATATCCCAGCGCGATGAGAGGCAGGTCTGTATGGTGGACACTCCACTGTGTACTTCACAAATTCAAGATGCTTAGAAACATTCACAATTAGATTCACTTCATCACCTGACAGTTCAGATTTAGCTTGGGGGCATTGTTCCCCCAAACTATTTTCTTGATCAATAACATTGAAAGAGAAACCAATAGAAGGTAACTGACTTTCCATAATCTGAAAGATTCTGATCGGTTGAGGAGTCTTGGTGGGCTCAGCCTGTCTAAAGAGGCTTCTGTCTTCCATTTAAAGCTTCTGGGATCTTTCAACTGTCAAGGCTGATCATGACATTGTTACCTCAGCAATTCTGCTTTCAAGAACTACATGCACTTGAGATGATTTGTTATGTACGCATATCTTCAAGCTGCTTTGTTAAAGGGTGCTCCTTGACTTTTCACTGATATATTATTACTCTTTAAAAATTTTTTTAGATACTGGTTTACAGAAAAATGTCATATATATTGTGTTTTGTGCATTCCTCCCTTCACACATTCTTTCACTGTCCTGAGCTATCGTCACTAAGTCTTCTCTCCTCCCCATCGCTGCCCACCCCCTCCCCGGAGCCCTCATGTCTGAGGTGGTGGTCATAGGGCCTCGGTCCCTCAGACACCCCCTACCTCTCCACTGCTCCCCGGAGCCCTCATGTCCGAGGGGGTGGCCACACGGCCTCTGTCCCTCAGAAACCCCAACCTCTCTAGGCCGAAGTTTAGTGGCCAGACTCCATGCAAACACCAGGTGTTCATTCCCAGGGCAGCTCATTTTGAGGGCAGCACACATCTGTTTGATTTTGTCTCCCCCTTGGACAGTGCTTCTTAACCTTCAGCAGGCTCCACAGGTTGATTAAAACACAGATCACAAAACAAAGAAGCAGAAATACGGAAACCCCCCCAAAACCAAAGCCAGCCCCTCCTGGAGGAGGTTTCTGAATCAGCGGTCTGAGCAGGGCGCATGAACTTGCATGTCTCCTGTTCGCATGCGGTGCGGATGCTTCCTCTAGCCGGAACCTCACTCTGAGTACCTCTAAGGAGACATCCTCTAACGAGGTAAAGGCTGGAGAGGATGCTCTCCTCCAGGTGAGAACAAGCAGGCACACGTTTGATTCAAGGCCGTCTTGATCAACCAGGCTTTTTAGACAGAACAGCTCTCATGTAGGTCAAGGTCACTGTATTTAAGTGAATGATGGATGAGAAGGAATTGCCACTCAGTTGATAGGAGAATAAAAACCAGCCCTGAATCCCTCAGACTGAATTAGATTTGGAGCAAACCAGGACGACACTGTGGCCGCTGTGGGTTTCCTAGCCCAGTAGTGCCTTTAGCTGAATTAATTTCTTGGCTTTTAGCTCGACTCCGTCTGCCTACCTACCTCTACCTCTTTGGTCTACCTGTGTACACTCCCCACCTCTCTGTACGTAAACATGTGATGAAACACTATCTTTGGCTATCAAAACCGAATTAGTGAAACAAGCCCATCTTTGGCCTCTCCTCATATTGCATCTGTGCATTCTTTCTGGAAATGTCTTGATGAAAATATCCATCAGATTATAATCTAAGGTAGTTTATCCAAAATCTAAAACCGAACACCTATTTCAAGCAAAATGAATTGTCCTATGCAGCAGAGATGTACAATAAGAACCCCAAAAATTCCCTCTTAGGAATACCATTCTCCATTACAATATAGACGTGAACTTGAATCTGAGGATTCTTTCTTCCTTTGATCTCAGTGTAGCCAGGGAACGACAACACAACTCTCAGGTTACAAGGCAGACCTCTGACAGAGCTTTTACAGAAACAAAGTTCAGAATCCAAATCTGCATGTACTAAAGGCTGGGACATCAACACCCCCACTCCCCTTCCCCGGTCTATGCAAGCCACGGTTTGCTTTATCACAGACCCTCCATGTCTTCAACAGAAAGGTCTTGCTCCCAGAGATTCTGAACAGCCAGGAGAATGCAATAGCCAGAATTGATTTATATAGTCCTATCAAATCAGTTGGAGACAGGGGCCTAAAATACCACAGAATAATGCCAAACCTTGCGTGAAACAACCTCAAAAGCAGTTTCATACACTGTGTGGAGACCGCTTGGCCCCCAGCACTGGCCCTCACACTATCCCCCTGGCGACCTTTCCCAAGCACTCACCCCCGGTCTGCATGGCCGCCCCGAGGAGGATGCAATGGGAATGAAGCTGGACCTTGGGCCAGTGCCGGCTGACTTCCCAGAGCAGCCTGTTCACACGTTCGCTGCACGCTTTCCCGCGCGAACACTAATGACCTGTTGACTCACTGCTCTCCCCTGTAGAGCAGCAGGTCCCTGAAGGCAGAGAGCAGGCTCTGAGCATCTCTGGAGCCGTGTCCCTGGTCCTGCTCCGGCTCACCAGGCCTCTTACATGCTGGCTTGAGGAAGGGGAGGAGCTCTCAGACAGGAACAGTGGTGCCTTGACCCCAGGCGGGGCACGCAGCGCACACTGCCATTCCTGGGCTGCCATGTGCCTTCAGGCCTCACTCACGCCGGCTCCCTCCGCCGATGCCCGTTCTGTGGTCCTCTGCCCGTCCCTGTGCGATGAAGAAGCAGAGCTCCATCCTCCCCGCTTTCCTCTCTCCTCCATCCTCATGGGGCAACCCTAGTCACGGTCGAGGTTCAGGGCTAGCAAGAAGCTAGCAGGTGGAATCTTACAGGGCTCGTTGGTCGTGGTGACCATGCTTGTGTTCTCAGCATAGTGTAAGAACCACAGACATCCAGGAAAGTATGGTTGATTAACAGTCCTTTTCCAGTCGGGGCTAATTGTTCTAATTTTAACTTCTTCCTTCAACAGGTGGTAGCATCAAGATGATCCTCTTGCATGGAAAGTGCCAAGGATGAAGACAAGCTCATGTGGTCTAGGTCCCTAACACTTGCTATTTTCCTAACAGATCAACCACATCAGGGTCGCTGTCTCCAGGGCGCCGGTCAGAACGCAGGGCCCCTTCTCAGTATCAGCTCTTTACATAGCAAACAGGCACAGAACCTTTAAAACCCTTCCGTTAGCTCTCCTCCTCGGGAGGACGATGTAAGAGAATCACATCGAGGATTCGGAATCACTTGGGAGGGCACGCCTACGAGGCATCACTGAGGTCTCACTGAGGACAGCAGTTCTAACCAACCAGCAGTAAGAGAGAGGGTTCCTGGCTGGGTCGCGGCTAAGATCCTCACAAGAACTTTGGTTTTTCTCACCATAAGCTGTTATTTCAGGAAAAGTACTACAAGAGAGAAAAATCCAAGACATCCACATTTAAACTATCATTACTCTATTATGCTGCTTTTGTGGGTGAAGATCTGAAAAAAATACCTAAGTGATGAAGCCATTCTTGTGTTCCCAGCACTTTTGCCAGTGAATGGCTCTCTTTCAGTGTCATTTTAAGAATTTTGTATCAGTGTTTTTTTGCTCATAAATAATTTGTGAGACTTATTAAAAATTTTCTCCTCTATCAAATGGTAGGAATTCTTTAAATTCTTACATTTCAGACTCGGCAGTTCTCTAACATGTCTGCATGTTTTCTCGACCCATACTAATTTGTGAAATCTTTACTATAATGCCAAATTTAACAAAATTCAAGTCTATTAATCAAGCTGAGTCTTAAACATTGAAGGTTTGTTAGAAGTTACCTAATCGAAAGAAACAGACTAGTTTCATTTCAAAAGCATTTCTCCTCCAACTAAAAGTAGCTACACTAGACTCCCTGTAATCTGAACACTAAGTTAAAATGTAAGCAGATCAGTCCTGGTACTGGCTCTGGGGAGTTTATTTCTGGTTTCTTGTGTGGATTTTCAACCTACAATACCTTGTAAAACAAGGTTATTCTGTTTCAAACTCACTCACAAGGAAAAGACATTCTGAAGAGTGGTTCCAACTATGAACACTTTAAACCAAATCAAACAGAACGGATGAAGGATTTCAGCCAAGCTGTTGATGCCACCGGGGCTTGCTGTCATTTTTGAACCTTGGTCTACATGTAATCAAGTTTCTCATGTTTAAGTAAAATCGTGGGCCTTATATAAACAATTCTTCTTGTAGCTGTTAGATACCATCAAGCGTGACTCATAGTGACTCTATGAAAAACAGACCCAAGCCCTGTCCTATCCTGTGTCATTTTGCCCATAGTTTCTCTAAGTGCTGCAACTCGAGCCTTGACCTTTCCCAGTTCTTTGAGCTTGAGAAATGCCAAGCAAAGTTCTTCCTTTTTATTCTCCAATTCGAGGTGTCTGCACATTCCATGTATAACTGTTCGCTTTAATCTTCTCAAGTTTCCCTTTGAAATCTTCAGTTCAGTCCTTTTACTTCAACATCTTCTTGCTCTGTTTTGGCTACTCAGAGCTCCTGTGCAACATCCATTCGGGTTTTCCTTTCTCCTCTTTGCTCTGCTCTCTTCACGAATGTCATCCTTGAGACTGTCTCAAGCTCATCTGGTCTCAAGGCACTTGTGTTCAGGGCTTCAAATCTAGTCTTAAGATGTTTGTTAACTTAGGTCATATTTTGGTTCTTATGGTCTTGTTTTCATTTTCTTCAGCCTCAATTTGAATTTGCACATGAGTAACTGGTGTTCTCTTCCATAGTCAGCATGTGGCCTGGTTCTGACTGCTGATATCGAACTTCTCCAACGACCTCTTTTACAGATGTAACCAGTCTGATTCCTGATGACCTCACCTGGTGAGGTCCGTGTGTAAAGTTGGTGTTTGTGTTTTTTAAAAAAGAATTTGTGAAGAATAATTGATCAAATTTACAAAATTCAATCATGCTATTTCTGGTCTTCTTTCTGTCACCAAATCCCACCCTCTGACTACCACTCTTAATTCATTGTTTCCAACTTCTACACTCTGGTCTTCAATTACCATTAACACATCTTGACTGCATGTTTGGTCAATTTCAGACTGTTAAATTTTGTAAAAGTCTTCACTTTCCTTCTCTTTGGCTTTAGCTGTTGGTGTATATATTTGAATAAAAGTTGTATAAAGTCTTGGTACCCACATGGATATATCCTGTCACTCAAAACACTGTACTTGAAATTGTCACAGAACTTGAAATTGTCTTTCTAACTATGACTGCAGTACCATTCTTACTGTGTGTCGTTCCAGCACAGTGTACCATATGATTGATTCCAGGAGGCCAAGGCCAGTCCATCTCATCTTCCTAATGCCTGGAATGTCGCTGTTCATGTGTTCTAATTTGTCACGACTTCTAGCTTTTCAACATTCATACTTTGTACATGCCATGTTTCAACTCTTAAAGGATGTTTGCCATGGTTTCTCCTCACGTTGCTGACTTCCAATTGGGTTCTGTGTCTAACACTACACTTCTACCTCTAATGGCTCTGCCTCTAATACAGTCCCACCTTGTTGCTGTTGTTGTTATATGCCGTCGAGTCGTTTCCGACTCATAGCGACCCTATGCACAACAGCCCTAAACCCTGCTCTATCCTGTGCCAACCGCACCGCCTCTGACACACCCATCCCGATTACCCCAGTCACCGAATCAATCCATCTAATAGAGGGTCTTCCCCTCCTGCGCTGTCCCTCCACCCTCCCAAGCATGATGTCCCTCTCCAAGGACCCGTCCCTCCTGGCAACATGTCCAAAGTATGTCAGACGAAGCCCCAGAATCCTTGCCTCCAAGGAGTAGCTTGGTTTAATCCTCTCCAAGATGAATCTGTTTGTTTTCCTGGCAGTCCATGGTACATTCAGTACCCTTCTCCAGCACCACAGCTCAAAAGCATCCACTCTCCTTCTGTCCTCCCTAGTCATTGTCCAACTCTCTGATGCATAACAAGAGATTGCAAGGACCATGGCCTGTATCAGGCGCACCTTAGTCTCCAGAGAGACACTGTTGCTCCTGAGTACCTTTGAGAGGTCCCTAACAGCAGACTTTCTCATCACGATATGCTTTTTGATTTCCTGACTGCTGGTACCAAGAGTGTTGACTGTGGAGCCGAGCAAACTGACGCTGTGAACACTCTCAATCTCTTCGTCATCCATCCTGACGCTGCTAATTGGTCCAGTGGCGAGAATCTTTGTCTTCTTGACATTGAGTCCCACCTTATACTGCAAAAATGCCAACTGTGTACTATGCTGAGCCGTATAAAATGGCACGGAATATATTCTTCTCCCCCAGTTAAGCCCATCCTTTAAGACTCTTGTTAAAAAAAATGAGTTAAGAATTGGAATAGTTATCATGAAAGGCCAGCAGGATGCCAAAGAAAAACACACACCATTGAAAACCAACATGGACTAGTGGGCGGGGCCAGTCCTGGGGTGGGCCTCCAGAGCAGACTCTGCCCAGCACTCAGGAAGAGTTCAGCGAGGTGGGGGCCAGCGGCTGGCCAGCTCCCTCCTGGACCTCCACATGGACTCTCGTTCCTCAGACCGATGCACGCCTCTGACAGGTCCACCCTGCAAGTGTGTATTGAATACACTTTGAAAACTATACCCAGTGAACAACTCAACAGAGACTCCGTTCTGAAAGGGCAGCTCAGACCTCTGAGGACGCAGGGCTGCAGGCACCAGTCGCGGTGGGCTGCAGACACATTTTAGGAAGTCTTCTCGTGAACTGGAGGCTCCAGTCCCTCTTGCTGACAGAAATGTGTCCCAAGAGCTTCCACTGAGAAACAGTAACTTGTGAGGATGAATGAGGTTGCGTTGGCACATGGCAGCTTTGCTTTATGTTGTCGATCTGACACTGATCACAGCTGACCTTCCAGTGGGTTTTCAGAGGCTGTAAATCATATGGAAGGAGACTGCTCAGCTGTCTCCCGTGAAGCAGCTGATGGACTCGAACCCCCTGACTTTGGGTTGGCAGCACAACTCCTTACCCACCAGGCCACCAGAGTTCCCTTCATGAAACAGCTAACATGCCTGAAATTTTGCAATCCTGGCATCATGGGCACGAAACAAAGATCGTTTGTTTCTTTGATAATTGTTGTCAGACTAGATTGAGAGTTCATTCAAGTCTGTATCCGATTGGCTTCTAGAAGATTCTGGCACCTAATTATACTCTATTGAGTGGAGACTCTGGATGGACCTCAAGAGGGAGGGGACAGCTGAGTGCTTTGAGCTGTGGTGGGAACTTTGCTCTTTGGGGAGAACAGTAGCAGCTGCCGCCCGCCAACGACAGGGTCAAGGAGCCTGTGGAACGTTCATCTACGGCTTCACAGCAGGCAGAGAAAGTTAATAAAATAACAAGCAAAGTCGTCTAGTCGCTTCGTTACTCTGCCTTACTTCAGCTATTACTCATTTTCGGTGGCTGCCAAGCTCAGCCCTGCAGACAGCATTCATAAAGAAGTACTTTTCTCCTTCATGGCTTTTTCCCCCACCTTAGTGCATGAGAAAGAACAAAAAAAAAACCCCAAAAAACCCAAACAACTTGAGGCCAAATGGTATCTAGGGGCGGAGTCTGGGATAGTTTAGTAAGGAAATAAGTAGAACTCAAAGTTGGATTACTAAAGCGTCCTCTGAAAGCCAGCTCCGAGCGCTTACCCAGCTCGGGCCTCTGCCAGGAGCCATGGACCTAAGGACGTGAATCATCTGTGACGGCTCAGCCAAGCCCTGAATAGGGCAGGAGGCCCACACCTGCTGCGGGGTGTGATCGATCACCTTGTCCACGGGTGGATTAACAACATTCAGCAGCTCTTACAAGGCACCAAGCTGTTCCCATGTCCACCCATGCTCAGGCCCCTCGGTTACTGCAAAGCTTGATAAAACCGCGACGCAGGTCTGCTTGCTGCCCAGGGCTCAGGCCCCAGACACAAGCTGGATGGCAGATACCCACCCGGGGATCTGGGGCCTTAGTGTAGAGGCATCAAGAAAGGTTCTCTACAAAGGTGCCCCCCCCACACTTCCTTCAAGGACAGAGACTTTCTGTTATTGGTAGAGATCACAGTCACAGAGGGGTGGTGGGGCGGATGACATTTACTATTTCTGTGGACCATGCACTCTGGGGGAATGGGGATCACACCCCCTGGTTTAGCCTCAGGGTGACGCCTGCCAGGGGAGAGGCCTGGAAAGTAAGTGACCCCAGAGCCTCTCTGGTTCTCAGGAGGCCCCGCAAGTGTTGATAGCTTGTAGGGCTGGGAAGCAAAATCACCAAGAGCTTCTGACACATCATTTGCATTTTTAAGGTAAGTAAACACATGAACCTTTACGTACCCCTTTTTTCTGGTATAGTACCTCATCAAAGTAGTTTGCACTCCCCCATTTTAATTGTGTGTCCTTCACAACACTGGGTACCATGCTGGGCAGGCAGGGAGCCCACGGGAATGAACAGACCATCCTCTGGGGTCCTTTCCTGCTTCAGTTCATGTGAACGGTTCCCACACTTCGGCACGCTGTTAGGTGCCATCGGGTCAACTATGACTCACAGTGACGCAGTGAAGCAGGCCTGGCCCATGCCCACGCCTGTGCCGCCCTTACCACCTGCCAGGAGCTGATCTGAGCGCCATGCAAAGGGGATTCCTCCTCCTCACCTGGTCCTTCAGTTCCGACAGCTGACCGGAAAGGTTCGTGACCAGCTTCATGGTGGATTCCAGCTTCTCCTGCAGGTTCCGCAGCTCATTCTGTTCCCCGTCAGAATCGCTGCTGACCAGGGACATGGCTCGCATCCTTGGGAACCAGTCAAGGTTCCGTTCCTGGAATTCACAGGAAAAGGGGAAGGAAGTCAGAAGTGAGGTTCAGAGGCCGACACAGGACATGTGGCCACAGCCACCTCCCCGTGCCCTGTGCAGGACCGCTCGGTATCCTCCCTCGCCACGCTGGCTGCCAGTCCTGGGCATTAAACCAGAAAATGGTGCGCAGGGCCTCGAGCAGCGGATGAGGCTTTAAGACGCCAAGTGCTTCGTTCAACAATGGGTACGTGATGGCTGCATCTGCCTGTAGACAGCAGTAAAGAGGCTGAAAGGGGGGCTGGGCCCTGGTTCCATTTCCCGGAGGGTAAAGTTAGAGTAGTTGACCTGCTGCTTGGTGGGAGAAAGACAGAACAGCCAGCTTCCCAAAGGATTTCCCACCCTGGAGCCCGACAGAGCAGCCGAGGCTCTCACAGGGGACCTGTGCGGCTGAGCTGGCCGAACGGCAGCAGCTGGAATGACCAGGCCCTATGGCCAGCAGTTCTTCCGACGGATGAACAGAGTGTGACCGCACACACTTCCCCACCCCACCCTCTGCCCATGAGAGACCTCTCTGTAGTCCGTCGTAGTCACTCAGCAGCTCTACAATGACACCCTAAATGCAGCCATGGACAACAGACAAGATGTGAACTACAAGCAGTGCTGTGTTATAGGTGTTACGCGCCATCGAGTCGCCTGTGACTCAGAGTGACCCTATGTACAGCAGCTCTGAACCGTGCCCCGTCCTGAGCCAGTCTCACTGACTCCAACACATCTAATCCCATCTGCCCCGCTACTGTGCCAATCTATCTCATCCAGGGTCTTCCTCTCCTGTCTTTTCCCTCCACCCTTCCAAGTACAATATCCTTCTCCAAGGACCAGTCCCTCCTGGCTAATGCCTAAAGTATGAGACAGAGCTTTAAAATCCTAGCCTCCAAGGAGAGACTTGGTTTCACTCTCTCCAAGACTGACTTATTTGTTCTCCTGGTTGTCCATGGAGTGCTCAACACTCGTCTCCAGCAACCCAACTCAAGGGAATCCATTCTCCTGTCATCCTTAGTCACTGTCCAGCTTTCTGTGCAAAGACCATGACCTGGATCAGGTGCACCTCAGTCTCTAGACTGACATCAATGCTCCTCAGAACTCTGGAGAAGTCCTTGACAGATGACTTCCCAATGCACAATCTGTCTTTTGAGTTCCTGAGTGCTGGTGCCAAGAGTGTTGACTGTATAGCTGAGCAAGCTGAAACTGTTAACAACCTCCATCTCTTCTCCATCCATCATGGAGATGCCAATTGGTCCAGTGGTGAGAATCTTTGTCTTCTTGATGTTTAGCTTCAATCCATATTGACAACTACAGTCCTGGACCTTATACAGCAAATGCTTCAGGTGCCTACCACACTTGACTTGTGCTCATGCAAAACCTGTAACTAGACCAGAAAGCAGCTGTCCAAATAGGGAACACTGCAAGGTTGAAAATCAGGGATGGTGTGCATCAGGGCAGTATCCTTTCTCCACACCTATTCAATCTGGATGATGAGCAAATAATTTAAGAAGCCAGAATATATGAAGTAGAATGTGGCATCAGGATTGGAGCAAGTCTGACTAGCAACTTGTGTTATGCACCTGATACGACCTTACTTGCTGAAAGTGAAGCAGACATGAAACACTTGATGCAGAAGATCAAAGACTATAGTCTTCAATATGGACTTCATCTCAACATCAAGAAGACAAAAATCCTCACCACTGGGCCAACAGGCAACATCATGAGGGAAAGAGAAAAGACTGAGTTGTCAATGATTTCATTTTAGTTGGAGCCACAACCAACACTCAGGTAGCAGCAGTCAAGAAATCAAAATATATGTTGCATTGAGAAAAATCTGCTGTCAAGGACCTCTCCAAAGTGCTAAGGATATCAGTTTAAAGACTAAGGTGCACATGACCCAAATCATGGTCTTTATAGTTCCTATATATGTGAAATCTGGACAATGAATAAGGATGACAGAAGAAGAATTGATGTCTCTGAACTATTGTGCTGGACTTCAAAAGAACAAACAAATCCATCTTGGAGGAAGTGCAACCAGGGTGCTCCTCAGGGGCAAGGAAGATGAAACGTCACTTCAAAGGCTTAGGACATAGGCCAGGAGGAGCTAGTCCTTGGAAGAAGACATCCTGTTGGGAAACGTGGGGAGTCTGATGCAGTGGCTGTAACTGTGAGCTGGAGAGGGCGAGGGTCCACTCGATGGCCTGCATCTGACAACCTAGGGAGCTGTGGTGGCCTGGTGGTAAGAAGCTGTGCTGCAATTCCAAAGGCACGTGGTTCAAATCTTCCAGCTCCTCCACAGAACAAGGATGGGCAGTCTCCTCCCACGTGATTTATCGCCTCCAAAAACCCATGGGAGGGTCATTTACAGGTCAGCTCTGACTTGACAGTACACAATGACAAAAAGATGTTAGTGCAAGGGACCTCTCGTGGCTTATGGTAAAGAACTGGGCTGCTAATATAAAGACTTGCAGTTTGAGTGCACCTGCCGCTCTGCAGGGGAGAGACAGCCAGTCTCCTCCCGAGCTATTTACTGCCTCTGAAAACCCACTGCAGAGTCAGCTCTGCATTGGCTCCGACTTGACTAATAACCGGTATTATAATAACAAGAGGTGTTAGCAGTGTTGTAAGTAATGACCCTGAGATGGTCAGTCAAATCTCAAATGACCAAGCACCAGCTGTCAGCTCCACCTCGCTCTGTCCACATGTGCTACCGAGTGGAATCGTGGCCGGGTCACCCGTGGTGGACAGGTTTCTGGGGAGCTGACTGGCAAAGAGGAACAGCCAGGGCACCACAATTGGAGAAGCACTGAATTGATGAGGCCAGAGCGCCTATCCGTTCTGCTGGACCTAACATCACCATGAAGTCTGCCTTGTAGTCAGTTAGCAAACTGTTCAGGCTCCATGTGTCTTATATCTTGTTGAGAAAGGGACGTGTCAACGTGGTGGTATGAGGTTCCTTCATTACAGGATGTCCGTCTGTACACAGACGCTGAGAGGGGCTGCAGACCTGTCCCGGCAGCAGCAGAGAGTGTGGGTGGGCCCCTGGGGTGTGCCTAGCCGAGCCCCCTGCTAGACCAGGGCTGCACCCCCAGCTGAGTGGAGCAGCCTGGAACATTTGCAGGATTTTGCCTCTCTGTCCCCTTGAGATCAGAACTATGTGACCAGAACTATATCTGAGGGTCTCCTGGCTCCTGTGGCATTTTTGGGAAAGTCTTCTGCAGAGAAGACACTTTGCACCCAGTTACGGGGGTGGGGAAGGAGCCTGTGGGCGACGTTCGTTGGCTGGTCCTCAAGCATCTGCACTGCGCTGAGCCTCCCTGTGTCCTGGGCCCCTTGCTGCTGGCATGCCACACACCACTGTCAGGTGCTGCCCCCTCCGGCCTCCTGCAGTTCCCATCAGCACTTGCTTCCTCCCAAGCAGACAGAAGCCACAGCCGGAAGCAGGCTGACCACAGTCTCAGGTCCTGGTTACTTCTCTTCTAGGTAAAGCAGGAAAAGTCCCTGCAGACACTGTGGCTTTAGACGCAGGACAGCACTGGTCAGCAGTGGAAATGTCCTCCGTTGGGGAGAGGGAGGAGGTGTGGAAAGACAGGAAGAGGAGAAGGCAGCCTGACGGGGCATGAACACGCGTCCTTCTGAGGAGCTTTCTTGTTTGTCTGTGGCTGAGCTGAGGGCGGCGTGCTCAGCAGATACTCAAGGGCTCACGCCCCTCCTGAGAGCAAATGTTCCCAACACAGAGGGCTTGTGTGCCATGAAGAGTGGCCACCACTGAGTGGTGAACCCCTGGTTCTTCCAGAGCTGGATTAGAGAAGGGAATTGAGGTGGGTTTGGTGAGGAGTTGAAAGGTGAAAGCGAGAATGGTGGAGAAGGGAGTCTTGTGTGGGCCAGTCACTCCTCTGCTCTCCAGAATCCTCTCCGGGAAGAGCCGAGCACTATCCTTTGTGCTCCAGTGCCAGCTGCATTTCTAGTCCTCTGAGGGAGGCAGATGAGCAGGGTTTCCCCAGACCACAAGGGGGATGCTCAAGCTAGACGGTGGGAAGGGCCTGGGAAAAGCTTGTTGGTCTCCTGGAATATCCAGGCACCCCCAAGACGCCTAACGCGTCACCCAGCTTTTCAGAAGCAAGATCATAGGACACCCAATAGACTTGACACCATCAGTCCCTTCTCTTAGAAAGCTAAACTATTCCCATCAAAGAAAAATAAGATAGCTCACCTTCAGAGCTCACAACACAAAGACCACAGAACCCTCAAAATCTGTGTGGATAAAAATGATGTCTATGGAAAGAATTTTCACAGAAGATATTTGAGTGGCAAACAGACACATGAAGAAATGCTCCAAATCACTGGCAGTAAGAGATGCAAATCAAAACCACAATGAGGTAGCATCTCACTCTAGTAACAGTGGCAAAGTTTAACAGGGTAGCAAGTAATATATGTTAGAAAGAATGTGGCTAAAAAGGAACTCTTAAACATTGTTGGTGGGATTGTAAAATGGTACAACCACTCTGAAAGGCAGTTTGGCACTTCCTCAAAAAGCTGAACATAGAAATTCCATATGACCCAACTATTCCACTAACTTGGAATATACCCTGAGAATATGAGAAGGCACAAATGGAGATTTGTACACCAATGTTCATAGCAGCATTATTCACCACTGCAAGAACATGGAAACAGCCCAAATGTCCAACCACAAACGAATGAACTGAGAAATTATGGTATATTCACACAATGGAATACTATGCAGCACACAGGAGCAGAAACTGTAATTTATTACCTAACTTGGGCAGGAATGGAGAGCATTATGCTGAGTGAACTTAGTCCCACAAGGATAAATATTGTACAAAACCATTATTGTAGAATGAGTATAAGGATCCAAGAGGGGGTGGGCGAGATGCAGAAGCAGAAGGATGTGGATGTGCAGGGGGAGGGGGAATTATTTATGGGTTTGTACAATTTGATGGCGGTGCATGTGAGGGATATTG